GGCAATGGGAAATCTCTCAATGAGTCTAACTCAGCTCGGACCTGCCTTAGGGAAAGAAATTCATGTTTTTTATTGATGTTATGCTCGATTACTAGACTTTGTTAATATATATATATATATATATATATATATATATATATATATATTATATAATATATATATATATATATATATATATCTATATTTATATAATATATATAATATATATATATGTATATATATATATATATATAATTGCAAGTTCTTCATTTAGTCTCGGTGGCTAAAAGCCCTTAAATTAGTTTACTAAGAGACACCAACAGTTCATTGCAAACGACAAGAGGATATTCATTACGTGCGGATTTGTGTCGTGGCATATGTAGGTATAACGCAGTTGTGGAGAATTTGCCTTTAAGACACAAATTTCTCGATCAGCGATATCCATTTTTCATACTACTTACGTATTTCGATCAAATTAATTGTTAAAATTGATTTTCTGTAATATTTGCCTTTCAATATTCAAGTAAGGGCTTCAGGCATTGCAGAAATGCTGCTCGGTGCTCTCTATTCCTTGTTTTTGAAGTGATGTTATTTTAGTCGGAAGATATAAGAATTACTGTATTCTATTTTTGATTTAGGATAATTATAATTATTCAAACTGGATAATGGAATATGGATTCTATTCCATTCCAATATATGTCCAAATATAAAAGTTTTGGTCACAATAATAGTTTGAATTATGTTAAAGATATAAATAATGCTTTCATAACTTTTGACATAGCTGTCTAAAATCGTGTTCGGGTTTCTTGGGAGTTGCACCGCGTACTCTGGTTATGTTATGCAAAAGTTATAATCAAGAAATATTATAATAGAGTTAATATACATATATATATGTATATATATATATATATATATATTTGTTTAAACATTACAACGAAGTTCGCAAATTACTTGTGCTTCTTAACTGTAATATGAATATTTAAATATACAGTTGTTGATAACATAGAAGTACATTGTGGGACCAAATTTTTTTTGTCTTCGTTTCTATATTTGGTTTTGGTTGAATTATTGGTAACGAAATTTAATTTATTTGAGCACGCAAACGGTACTCTTTTACTACCTTAAATTTGAATTATTATATTTATTTGTCTGCATCATTGTGTAGTTCGGTTCAATGGAATGTGGAAATATTTTGTAGTAACGATTGTAATAACGTATACCGTTGCGATATTGTTTTAAAGTAGTGCACACGAGTAAACAATTATCTCACGCAAATTGTGTTCTTTCGTGCATATTTTGTGTAACATTTTATCGAGGAATATCGAGACAACCATTTTATCGAGGAATACCTGGTTTGCCACAAGATAGGCCAACATACATATACTTTATAAAAACTTTTTACAAAAATTGTATTAAATAATACTAGCAATTTCAGTTTTACTTATATTTAAAATTTTAAGTGCTATTTTTTATAACGCTTAATTACAAAAACACGCAAAGACCACCGACGTGGTGGTATACCACATTGTGTTAGTATGAGAGCCAACGACCTTCGCATATTACAAAGTGTGAAGTGTCCAATTATAAGATGCTTTATATTTGCGAAGAAATAATAAATATTGCATTTTTTTTTAAAAAAAACGTAACACGTCTATATAGTATTTACAAACGAACTATAGTGGGACGTCGATCTTAGATTACTGAAAATAATAATTAGATGTACTTTCCGCATGAATCACACATATGGGTACTACAATAAATGGCGACTTCCTATGATGTTGTTATTTGATTTTACCAATGAGTAAATTTTACACTCTTTCCTTATTTTATCAAAATTAAGATTAATTGAAATTGAAGATTATATAAATTTTTCCTAAAAGTTTTGTTTTCGTTTTTATGTCGCTGAATTAAACCCATTTGATTTTTCCAATTTATTTTTCCATCTTCTTATAGAACAAGTTATTTTTGCTTCAATATTATACATTTTTGTATTTTTTCATTTCATCTACTCGTCTTTCCATTGTTCCATTTGCCTCTAGCATCTTCTATATACTATCCTTCCCATTTTTGAACAAAGTTCCCGATGATTAGTGTCACGTTTCCTAAAAATATTTCAAGTGGAAAATGCTACACGAACGAAAGAGTATCATATACATTTTTGTTGCTGAGGAAAATACAATTTCATCGCAAGCTTTTATACGAATATTTTAGAAAACACCGAGATTGTTTGTGGAGACGAGAAAAAATATTATTGAAAAGTACACGTCTGAGAGCGCACGTGATTTAAATTTTATTTGAGGTTTTATTTCATATTCTTTCATACCATAGGATATAGGATGAAACAAACACATTACAGAGAATGTTTATTACTAAAACTAAATATTTAACTAAACTGCAGCGTTTGACTAGATTGAATTTTTCAAACATATTTATCTTAATCTTAGTTTTCTTACACCTTAGTTTTGATTTTTATAATTATATTTGGGCAACTTTTTTCATGTTCAATACCTATATCTTGACATATATGATAAAATAATATTTTTTTAATACCATTTATCATTGGAATTGGTTTACAATTCCATTACTTGAAGGATGATATATTTTGGAAATCATAGATCACCTAGCAAGAAAATTGATTGTGTAAGATGTATAAATACGAGTTTATTTTTTTTAATAAGGAGAAAAATAAAATATTTAAATTAGATTTTACCCTGGTTTGTTGCATTTGTTTGGGTATGTATATTTGTAAAAAAAACTCTGGGGTTATTGGATATATGCATTGAAATATTTCATAACATCTTGTAATTTTTTCTTCATATGAAGAAAGTTCGTGGAGAGATATCGCATGGTTTAGTCTAGTCACATTATATGAGAAGAAAAGTTTACGCCAAAGTTTTATTGAAAAATCTCTTCACAAGATAAAAATAATACCTTTAACATATATTATGACAATAGAAGGCTAATAAATAATATTTACGAGACACAAGTACGGTAAATCTGTGATAGCCCCACAATGGCACTCCTGATATTTTCAGGAATTTCAGTAGCTCTTGCTATTCCTAGCGTAGAACACACATACCTTTCTTGAAACTTTGTCATTTGAAACTTCAAAACTATCTTACCATTTTGTTGTTTCCTAAATAAGATAATAATAACTCACGCGAGATTGTCAGCTATAATGCAGAGAAAGTTTTATTATTTCGTTAGTGCTCTATCGAATTTTGTTTCTTCGTTTAGTAATGCGCGTAAATGACCCCTTGTTAGTTTCCTTATAAGCCACTATTATTTTTATTTGTTATGAATATTCCAAGCTTGGCATGCATATTGATATTTCCCATGTTACATTAGAGCTCATAAATATAATATTTGTTTTGAGTATATTATAAATTGAGTAAGAGAAATCTTGACATTTTTTTTGACAATTTGGGTTTGTTAATTGATTGATATGATATTGATGTTTAGAGTTTATTAGTTAATAATCCTATTATAGATAATATTCGAATACTTGTTTATACTATGTATGGTAATACCAATGCCTTATTTATTTTTTGACAATGTTTATATTACCGCCTTTTAGTAAAGTAGTACATCATTGGCACTCTTGGAAATAGTTATTTGTTTCGTAATACGCTATTATAAGAGATATACCAAGTTTACTTTTTTATGCATGGTTATGCATATAGCTGCATCAGGGTTTATACAGAAACCGACATTTTAGACAACCGTCAACCGAAAACGGTTTGCAAAAAAGCTGAACCTAATAAGTCACTTGGATTCAATTCTGCGTCATATTCAAAGCAATTATACTACTCAAGAGTTACCATATTATCAACTGATCCATTTGTATCATTTATTTTTAAATGATCGTAAGGCTAAGATCAATCTTAGTTTGAATTCTATGTAAGTTCATTTATTTGTAGATCCAAGTCCTCGCTTGGCATTACTACATTAATAAATCTTCGCCTTATTAAAGAAATTGTAATAATAAAATTAATTACACAGAGAAGAGGTAACGGTTTTCGTTGCCATCAGTAAGACCGGCATAGTATAACGTAAAATCAGCCCAACAGCTTATAGAACTCTGAAGTTTTGTTGGCTTTATAAAAAAAGTCTATTGGTCCTAGCTTGGTACGACAGTACATTTTATATATTTTATTATATGCACTCTTGATATAGTTATGCATATAGCAGCATCGGGGTTAATTCAATAACCAACATTCTAGAAAAAGCTGAACCCAATTTATCAGTCGGATTCAATCTAGCGTCATCAATCCAAAGTAATGACATCATCCAGGAGTTACCATATTATGAACTGTTCCATTTGTATTCAGTTTGTATTTTCATACTGGTGTAAAATCTTTTTTTTTGTTTTTATTTCAATTACAATCTGTCACACTGAAGACATTGAGTAATTGTTTTGACTTTTCTTATTATATGAATGGATGGCAACCCAGTAGTTGACCAGTCCAGGTTTGACTAATTATCTATACTCGAAGTATTTGCTGACTTTTTATTATAGATGCAACTATACCTACGAGAGGCGATTTTCACTTGAGGCTATATTTGAGATCTATAACCTCAAGTGGAAGTTTGACATCAAAGTTTGACGCCACCGCTGGCCCTGGTGTAAAATCTAAGGTCAATCTTGGTCTGATATCTGCATCAGTTCTTTTATTTACACACAACAACTTTTAGGACGCTGGTTTTATAGGGACTCGGGTTACACCACGTTCGTTAAAATAATTCAAGTATTTGGATATAAATACGTTTATGAATATACGTAAATGTACTGTCATTTACCATCATTCGCAAATATGATATCTTCCACTTAGGTTGATAGCCTCTGTTCTGATTCGCCCGAGGCTGTGCTGGAACAAGTTAACATGATTTGCAAAATGTGACTTGGCAATCTTCTAGCCGGTCGTATCGGGCGTGATTTCTGCTTGCTTCACTATTTTCTATTTTCCTCGCGGCTCAGCGCTTGAACTCTATCTATCAAAGCGAATGCAACCCTGTGGGGAATGTCTAGAAATGCAATTTGTCTACCGCAATGTCCTTCTGACATAGCGCCGCCGCCGTCGCCGCCTTTCACGAGAGCGCATAATGAAAAATTAGATGAGGTTTTAGGGCATACAAGAGTAAGAACTTGTAATAATGGAAATTATTTTGGTGCTGAAATGAAATTGTAGAATGAAGTTTAATATCAAATTGAAAAATTGGGATCTTGAGCAAGCGGTAATCTATAGTAAATAAAAGTTATAATAATTAGAAATGAATTGGTCATAAAAAAACTTTGCTGTTAGGAATGGCGAAATGATAGATTATAAAATTTATAGCCATAGCTAACAATAATGACATCATCTGAAAATTTTACCTAGTTTTACGAGGTTGACATTGATTGCTTGCTTCGTGGAAGATTCTAATAAAATGACATGACAATGAAAATGAAAAGTTTTTTAAGAGATTTTCATTTATTATTGACGTTTCGGAACTAAGTACGCTCCAGCTTCAGAACATCTGCCTTGAAACATGATTTTAATTAGATTAAACCAAAACATATACTTAAGGGGCACAACTAGTGTGAAATTTCGAAAAAAACGATTTTTTTTACTTTTTTGGATTACAGCCATTTAAAGAGTATATATATAGTATATAGTACAACGATCATTTTATCTTTAAATCGCTTTTTCTCGAAACAACATTTATCGAATTTGCTGCAGTGATTACTCAAAAACAAATATCGATCACTATCAAATTTTTTTTACATGTTCTATATATAGTTCTCCGTAAAATGAACTAATCGATTTTTTGATCGAATCAAATTTTGGCAATTTTGCGTAAAATTCGACTTTTTTGAAAAAACCGCCATTTTGTCAATTTTTTATTTATTTTTTTTATCGTAATTCATTTCAGACAATATTATCTAGTTTTACGAGTTTTTTTTTTCTTTCATCCACTTAGAAGGCCGGAATCACTGCAGCAGTTAAAGGGCCTTTTTTGTCGCGCCGTTGGGGATCGACGATAACTTAAAAAATATTTAATTTATTTAATTTCAAAATTTTACTATGTATTCTTGAAACATCATAATATATTCCTAAAATTTTGAAATGATTGATAAAGTTTTTTTAATTTAAATTCCCAAAAATCACCTTTTTTAGGCGGTTACACTAGTTGTGCCCCTTAAAGAAAAAGAAAAATTAGAAAAATTAGGAAACAGAGAAAATTATAATAAAAATAAAAATAATAGGGAATAATAAAAATAATAATAATAAAAAAAATAATAATAATAATAATAATAAATAATAAAAGTAATAATAGTAAAAAATAATAGAAATAAAAATGATTTTAATCATTGGATTTTATAAAGAACTATTAAAATGATTGCTAAAAGATTTTTTTAAAAGTGGGAATTAAGAAAAAAGAAAACTATTTACCTGAATGATTGATTTGAAGTGACTAACATTTCATATTTCACTATAACGATAACAGATTTTAATGAAATCAGTAGTGATTTTTAATTTGATTTTATAATATATATATCATTTAAATAAACTTTTCTTTTCTTTAAAACAGATATTATTTTATTCTTAAAACGGCATCGGATTGAAATGATATTATAATAATTAATGGTGATAAATATGTTTTCGTAACATATTTGAGAATTGAGATTGAGATAAATTTAGACAATGAGTGTTCCTGTTTATGAGTATTCTGCAAACAAGGACCAACTTCCGTATTATTAGTGAATGCTAATTGTTGTCTGCCCTTTCAATTGTGATACTAAACCAAATCGCGAAATGCGTAAGGTGATTCAAATATATATTTTTTTGGATAAGGTCAAACTTTTAAGGAAACATCTGGTGAAGAATTTCTACTATTTTTTTTCGAAATTTATGTTTCAAGAACAATTTATTATTATACGAGTAATTTTTATCACAATTCAAATAATATTTTAAACGGTACAGTTCGGTAGCTTATCCAATAATATCGACTCGAATCATAAGGTATTGTATGTCTATGGCTGATTGCATATAAATCAATATGTAATTCAATCTCTGTTTATTACAATGCATTATATCGATAGTAAAGATATTTATTACCAACTTTATATCTCAATCATAAATATATTCCAGTGAGACTCTTATATACCAATGGTAATTATTAAATATTCATTATTCCGACTTCTCATTTTACACTAGAGCAATTTATGTATTACTATATTCTTGCTTTGCTTACATAGTATTTTTAATTTCATAGTCAATTATTTTTGTTTACGTCCAGAGACTTGAAGCTCTTTTGCGTTTTAAAATCTTTTCGTGACCACATTCTAACGAGGCTTAAAGGTGATAGATGCCAAGGTATACTTCAGGTACTCATTAAATGAGTCGGTACCAACTGGCATGCAACTAAATGAACTCTAGGCGACCCTGCCGTATAACATTTGCGATGTCATTAAAAATTTTAAACGAGCAGGCTATATATCCATGAACGCGAAAAATTAAATTTTACTAAATATTGCAGTTTGGTTCTCTATATATTTATTAACCCTAACCCTTCACGCTATTATGTGTTTTCATACGTTTGCAGTATGTTTTTCAATTCTTCTGTAAATCAAGTTAATATAATTTGAAAAGCTTGCTTAGTTCTTTTAAATCTAAGCCATTCTGAGGAATATTAAACAATTATGATCGACACCTTCAATATTTCCATTTTCAAACTAAGTTTCAGAAAATAAAACAAACGAGAATTGTAAG